AGAGAAGACAATTTTTCGTCGCTACCCGGATTCGAACCCGGGACCTTTGAATGCGAGGCCAACACCTTAACCTCTAGGCCACGAAAGCCCCCTCTAAGAACTCCGACAGGTAGAAGGTGTTGATGAAGCTGTTCTTAATTCTGTATCGTCGGTTGTTGCCAGAGATTCCAGAGGCCACGCGTAGACAGTTGCTACACGGCTATATATAACTGTGTCATCATCATCCAGTGCCAGATCTGTGACAGACATCGACGATCATGGTTCTCCATTCATTCCTTTGCTGGGATGCTCTTAAAAAAAGCTACGTTTCCCTGATCTTTCCCCGTTACCCATTTGTTTAGGTTCCCTGAGTGGGTTGCTCTGGGCCTATCCTTGCCTCGTTTGCCTTCAATTCTGCCTGTGAGAGTTAAATGTTCAAGACCTTTATGTTTATTCAGGAATCCCAAAAACTGCATTTGTCGTTTATGGATTGTTTTTAACAGTGGGCGTCCCACGTGGGCTTCATCAAACACTACCTCATTTGATTTTTTTTCTTTCCACGATATTCTCAACAGTTTCCTAAGAAACCACATTTCTGTTGTTTCTATTTTAGTTTCACTGTCTTTAGTGATTGTGTTTAGTGATAACTGTATAGAAGATTTTAAAAAATACCAATCACAGAATGTGACCTTTTTTAGGGGTTAGGACCTTTTTTACAGCGTGTAGACGATACATAACTGATGCCTGTGGTGTAGCAGGTAGGCACTTTGCCGGCACACACAGAAGACTCCAGTTCGAGACTCGTATAGGGAGATTTTGTTAAAATCGAGTATCGTGATCTTTCTGCCGGGACGATGTATCCCTCTCAGCCCAGATTGGCAGCCTCCTAAATTATCTGGATTGTTTCGACGGAAGAGTAAAACATCTACATAAAAGATCATAAAGACGATACATACAAGAAATAATACAATATTAAACAAAAACATGGGCATGCAGGGAAACAAGATTTATTGTATTTGCTGCGTTGATTGCGCACACATTTGAGTCGTTTAAGCAACAAACAAAAGGCAGGTAGGTGTCGAAAAAGAGTCGGGAAAGAGTTCTTGTGTTCGGGGTAAAATGTCTTAAGTGTACAGAGTAACCCATCAAAACAAGCATCGCATCCCGGTTTACTACAGGTCGCTTATTCAACGTATGAAGACTCCAGGGGCAGAACAGGCAGTGGTCACAATTTTGCAGCTTTGGCGTTGTTTGACTTGATCAATTCTTGCTTGGTTTTCCCCATTTTGTTTGTCAAAACATTTTTTTTTTATCACAAAGAGCTGCATCCATTCACACATTGGTGACACGTTTAAAACACCGCCATTCAAAAGAACATCGTAGCTGGTGGGTGCTCTCGTGTGGTTCGCTTCTTCTTTCCTATCAAACATCTATGGTCATTATCTTTTCCTCCTATTCTGTGTATGTTACCCTCCATTAACACCTATGATATTCAGAACAATATTCAGAACGTGTATGACTTAACTGTGTTGCACGTTTTGCTCCTAAAACATTACTAAAACTAAAACTGAAGCATGGGATCTTGAGAAAAAGAAAGACAACTAATGCCCATAATTTTATTTCTGTGACAACTGCCGTTTTTACTGCAGCCTTCAAACGCGTACTGCAGATCCATTCTATTCTCTATTCTCATTCAGTAAGGATTGATTTCAAACTGCCTTTGAAAAGTCAGTAGCAAAAAAGTCACTGCTTTACAGAGACGGCATGTTTTTGGAGTACTTCAACTGATTCAGTCTTCAAAAACGGGTCAAAAAGGGTGCAAAAATATGTTCATGAGCACTGGGTCATCGAGATTTCACTTTGTACACTGAGATTTTTATTTTTTTTAATCTCCGATTTTTTACATCCACAAAAACTAAATAAGACAAAATAAAACAAAATATTAAAAGTAAAATAATATTTAAAAAAATAGAATGATTACATTTATAAATAAAGTTACGTAAAAGAAACAGAGAACGAATAAAAAAAGAAAAGAGAAAGAAAGAAAGAAAGAAAGAAAGAAAGAAAGAAAGAAAGAATGAAAGGGTGAAAATGATAAAGAAAAAACGAGTCCCAACCTATTCCAATGGCACGTTCAATTCCAGCCTTACAATCTGTAAGCTAACAAAGTTTCACGGAATGTAACAACGCCTTTAACACGGACATCTGACGTCACCCCATAACGCGGTAGGTCTGTAGCCGTGACGTCACACGTGGCCGCTGTGACTTGGGGGAGCGGTCAGCCAGAGCAGGAGTAGCGCAAGGATCCATTGTCCAGATTACACGTGCACTGCTCGTACCGATGACCGCCGATGACCAGTGGGAAGGTGGAGCCAGGGTCCTGACAGATGTCGTCTGCGTCTTTGCAGCCTGTTGAAAAAAGGGGGGAGGGGGGTGTTGAGAATCGTATAGAACATGGGAGTGTCACCACAGGACATTCATGTCCTTACAGCATTGGGGGAGGGGGGGGGGTCATAAAGCAAAGGTCTTTACATCCTGGGGGAATCAATAGATAGAACATGTGTCTTTATAGCTTGGTGAAAATCATCATATAGAACATCGGTCTGTCTAACAGCCTCGGGGGAATCATTATAATATAGAACATAAGTCTTTACAGCCAGGGGGAACTATTATACAGAATAAATGGGTCTGTCTTTACATCCTGGGGGAACTATTATATAGAATAAATGGGTCTGTCTTTACAGCCTGTAGGAATCATTATGTAGAACATGTGTCAGTCCGAGGAATCATTATAATATAGAACGTGGGTCTTTGCCGCTTTGGGGAATCATAGAACATGTGTCTTGTCTGTACAGCCTGGGGTCTTGGGGTACAGCGGACAAAGCCGAACGGACTCTCCCGACCCGAAACCTTCTCTGTCGAAAATGTCTCTCCGGATTGATTCGTGGAGTACAGAAAAGTGGGAAGACATGGAATAACATCAAAAGGCTAGCCCAGGATAGGGAAATATTGAAAGTTTTTGTCCGTGGCCTATATCATATATGCTGGTGCAGGGTGAGAAAAGGCAATGATGATGATGATGATGATGATGATGATGATGATGATGGTGATGATGACGATGATGATGATGATGATGATGATGATGATGATGGGTCTTGGGGTGCAGCACTCCTATATGGATCTGAATGCTGGAGGATGACTGATCATGATCGGGCCAAGCTATGTTCTTTTCATACAACCAGCTTAGGCCAAGTCCTCCGAATCTTTTGGCCCACAAGATTTCCAACGCAGATCTGTTACGAAAATGTAGGCAAGAGGACATGACCACCATAATAACAAGGAGAAGATGGAGATGGATTTGGCATGTTCTGAGAAGAGAACCAGACTCTATTGTAAAGACTGCACTCCACTGGACACCTGAAGGACATCGCAAGAGGGACAGACCCTAGGTGACCTGGAGACGCACAGTAGAGTCTGAAATGAAGTCCTGGAACCATTCGTGGGGGACGTTGACCAAGATGGCCCAAAGCCGACAGAGCTGGAGATCCTTTGTTGCTGCCGTAATGGGTAGTAAGTAAGTAAGTAAGTTGGGGTGCAGAGGGTAGAACTGTGGGAAGTTGGGAGTGAGGAAAGGGGGGGAGTGGGGAGTGGGGAGTGGGGAGTGG